AATATTCTTTTTTTTTTTAAGGTGCCCCAAAAAGTCCTTACGGTCTTATCACAGAGCACCGCGGAAGAGCATTTAATTGGAAGTTCACGCCTCCTTCCCAACCGATGTCGCAAAAATTGCCCAGAGGTGGGGTTTGAACCACAGGTCTTACGTTTCTGAGGCAAGTGCGCTACCACTGCGCCACGGCTGCATAAAAATATAGATCTCTTCTTTGAAATTGATATTTAACCAATTAAAAAAAAGAGAGTTATATTTGTTGATATAAGTAAACCAAAACAGCAATACGCAACCAGATCAAAATCAAGATCAATTTTTAAAGAAAATTATCATAACATTTATGTTCCACCTAGTGATATCTATCATGCGCTTGCATGATAGATATCACTAGGTGGAACATTAGATGGAGAAGGTTTTTTATGAGAGAAATGAAATTTGCACTTCAAGTAATTGGCAATCGAGTATTTAAATCAAAATGGAAAATTCCAGAAAAAAAAGACCTTATGTCGAAGTACGATAAAAATAAATGAGTGAAGTACGATAAAAATGAAGATATCGACAACACTCATTGATTCTAACACACTCCCAACACGCAGTGTCATACGTAAAACACTAAAACAGATGCATGCGTATTCTCTTGGCCTGATTGCATACAAAATTATTCCAGCTAAAAATATTGGAGATATAATAACTCACGCAACTGACTCCACCACTTGTAGGCATGTTGAAACCTTTGCACCTTCAGGTTTACACGTTAATCGAGAATAGTCTTTTTCTTTGCCAACATTAGAAACAGCTTCCGAAATTACAACAAATATTGCAGACAGAATAAAAACAACATTTGAAATACTACAAGAAGCCTCGCAATACAGCTCAAAAGAGCTTAACCAGAAAGTAGGTGTTCATATGATTGACAGTACTGCGCATAATATAGGCATATCTAAAAACGTAGCCGATATACTCGAAAGAAAAATTCCTGCCGGTCAACTGTTTTGCACTTCGCATATTTTAGGTTTTGAAAGAGCTATTGAAAAAGTTTTAAATGAAATTGAAAATAAAATAAGTATGGATAACCTTTTTAAAGGTTTTCTGCTGGATGTATCTCTTAACAAAAATACCGAAACGTTACCTTTGACTTTTATTTCATAGGTAATAAACTTGTTTGGTCCAAATTTTATTCAAAAGCTATGGAATAATTATAAAGAACTTTTATGCAGTTTAAAAACAAAGAAATTTTGTTTTTAAACTGCATAAAGCCACACATTCTGAACTGCAGATATTCTTTAGCAAGATGCATGCAAGCTTATCTAACGGTGTCATAAATGAATTTTTTTTTTTAATTTAAAGTGTTCAAGTAGTATCAAAACGTCTCCTGGAAAGTCTCATTAAAAAAGATTATTACTCAGTAGTCATAGAGACAGTTCGTAAATACGCATCAAAGAACTTTGATGATTGCATCATTAATGCAAATATATTTCGACAAAGTTTAGCCGTCGTTCTTAAAAATTAAAAAGGAAAGCACTATGAGTTTCGTGGTATAAAGAGTGATGAAAAAACCGGCGAGTATTACATTTTTAATCAAGTTGTTGGAGTCGATAAAACAATTACAAATAACATTGTACTTAAGCGTCAGTGTGGCTCGCATTGCAATCGACTTTGGAAAAAATTGTCAATTTCAACAGTTTCTGGCGGTAATATACTTATATTGAAACCATTTAAGAATAGAAGATTCGACTAATTCAGAAATGAATAGCAGAATGGTTCCTATTGTAAAAAAAATTGAAAGTATCGAAAACAGTTTGAACCAGAGACAGATACAACTGAGACAATGTGAGTTTAAAAAATAAGAACAACAAGCTCTACATCAGGCTTTTAAAAGAAATTCTACTTTAGCTTTTTTAAAATTACACGGCGGCCCATTTACTTGTGAATCAGATTTCGATGAATATATTGAAAAAGATAATAATTTTTTAAAATGTCAAAAAAGATTTAAGAGATTATTTATTTTAGAGATCCAAGTAGGTCATTGCCACGAGGATCTGCTCTGTTTAAGATCATGACCGTTGATAAATATACAAAAAAACGTCATCTTATGTCTGCAGAAGAGTACGCTAATAACCTAAGGGTTCTACTTGGAAAGTCTTCACAGCAATCCACAATTACCTACAAAGATTTTCATTTCGCATTATGACTAAGAACAAATTGTTCACAATATGAACTAATTTGGTCTATTATGACATATTTTCTGTGTTATTTATATGTAAACAAAATAGTTATAAATTTTATTTCTAATATAAAAAGAAAAGTATTTACCATGGATTTTACTTTTCTTATATTTCATGATAGCATAATTTCAATTAATTTATCAATTGGTTGTTTTCTCAAAATAATCGCTTTTATTAAAATTGAAGTAGAAGGCTAAATAATTAAAATCAAACAAAATGATTATGTAATTCGGAATCAGCATGAAAAATTAATCAAAAAATGGAAATATAGATAGACTTTATCGATTCATCGCCGCCTTTGTATTTTGGAATTATTTTTGCTAATTTTAATTGGTCAGAAAAAATGCCGTCTTTTAGAGAAAAATTAAAAATTACAAATAGAGGTTTCTCTACAACATCTAAGACTGCTTTTACAACATCAGGGTTAATTTTATCCAGTCCTGCACTCTTGTTTGTTTTCAGCATACTGATCGCTATCCGATATTCATCAACTAAAAGCTGCAATTCATCCATGAAGGAATCTGATTTTTTCAAGAAAGATTTAAATGATTTTTTCCCCTCAGGATTTTCACCGGCTAGTTTTTTTTCTATATTTATAAAAAGGTAATTAAATATTTCTGCGATTTCCTTATTTTCAAAAGCATTTCCTCTAATATTATCTCTTAGCAATCTATTTGGCAATTATCAATTTTCAAACACTCCACTCCTGTTTTTTCATTAATTAGATTCCATGTTTTGTTTTTTTTGTATTTCCAAATGATTTATTTAGCAATGAAGAGTAGTAATTTTTTTTTTGATTGTTTTTTTAAGTTTTCAAAAGATTTTTTATATTTGTTTGTATTTTTTTTCATTTTTTCAGTTCTTTTTTTAAACTTTTGGTACAGTTTTTGTTTCTTTTTTGACGACTTTATTAGTCTCTTCATGATCCACGGCTAAGCAAATTTTTATAATTAATAACTCTTTTTAATTTTGGAAAGGCCTTTTCGAATTGCTTGGAGAACATGCGAATAAAATAATCGTAGCCATTATTTACGTCATTACAATCAGTCAATAGTTCCCAGTTTACTTCTCGTAAAAGATCGCGAAACTTGGCGAGTGATTCATTAATTTTTTTTCTTACATAAACATTTTTTTTTCAGGAGTTACAGAACTTGTAATAAGAAAAACTGGAAAACGGTCAATGACATCTGTTTTAATAATACCACTCTGCATTTTAGCCCTTGTATAAGATTTTCAATAATGGATGCCGTTATTTTTGTCACTCTTGTTGGCTGGATAATTATGGGGAAAATGCTATATTGCAAAAGTGTATTTATAAAACGCGCAATGTGTTTATTTGTTTTATTATTTAAAAAATTCAAAGTAAAATCACCCAATAAAGAAACGTATTTTTTTACGAGATTTAGTAATAAGTAGTTTATGTGTTTTCAAAGTGATTATAGTTACCATTTGGTGGTCTATATAATGCTATTATAAATGTATTTTCAATTTTTTTATTATTTCAATTGTAAATGACTTACAATCAACCCCATTTACTTTGAGGTTATCAACATGCTTAAAAGTCAATGAGTTTTGAACAAAAATAAATACGCTTCTGCCAATACCGTTTACTCTCGGTTGGTGGATGGGTTTAAACCCTGATAAATGAAATTTAAATTAATCGTGTCTTGATGTTTCTCTCCGAAAAATAATACTAAACTTTTTATTTATATTATTTATCATTAATTTTCAAAGCTTTTATTAATGCTTCTTATATTTATTATACAATAATGAGATTTAAGATGATGAAAAATTAAGAACATGTTTAATGTCGTGAACATTGTAATAAGCCGTTTCTACCAAAACTTTGTCAATAAAGTTAATGTTTATATCATCGTTATTAATTATGTTTAGTATGTTTTATGTCAAAAATATTAATATTGTTGGCTTCCGCCATTTTAAAAACATTAACTAAAAATATTATAAAACACAAAAATATCAAAGGAAAATAAACTTTAAGCACTCTTATGTGACTTTTTAAAATCTTTAACTACTAATTTATCATAAATAATGACAGATCATTTGCCGTTATTCCTGAGAATTCCCATTTCTTTAAAAAAATTTTCTCTACGGTTAGGGTATCCAAAGAGTAGTCCTCATTTTAAAATGTTCCTGTTCCTTTTAACTTTTTTGAGTTCTTTAACATGCTTATTTTATCTTTATACCCGAGAAAAAAAAACCGGCTAATCCTGCTAAGTTCCTAATAAGTTTCCTACTAAAACTTAGTAAGTTCCGGCCGAGTACTTACTAGGAACTTAGTAGGATTAGCAGGTTTTAGTAGGAAACTTAGTAGGATTAGCAAGTTTTAGTAGGAAACTTAGTAGGATTAGCAAGTTTTAGTAAGGAAACTTAGTAGGATAAGCAAGTTTTTAGTAGGAAACTTAGTAGGATTAGCAAGCTTTTAGAAGGAAACTTAGTAGGATTACTAGAGATTTTATTCGGAACTTAGTAGGTACTTAACAGGATTAGTAGGTTTTTTTTCTCGGTTAAGTATTACTTTCTAGTTTTATTTAATAGTTTTTTTAGTTACATTTATATTTTTATTAGGGTTTTATTTAGTTATTTGAGTTTTAAAGATTTCATAGTTATTTTTCAAGAAATATACGAGTTTAAGTAAAAATAATAATTTTTGCTTAAACACAGATTCTTCTTGAAAATATAGTCCTTCTAATATAATTTAACTAGTCCCTAAGCAATAAGGACGCTTATTTATAAAACAATAATAAAAATAACAAATAATAAAGTGTTAGATTGTTTAACTAAAACATTTAAAAAAATACAATAAACAGCGATGGTCAGTTCTTTTGGCAATTTCGCAGGTGCCAGTGGAATAATTGCACCCATAAGATTTGTCATAATCTTTCACGACCATAACTGTAGCTATAACGTAATTTAAAAAAATATTAATGCAATTCAACAACCTAATAACATATATTTTATAATAAAAAAGCATATTTTACTTACCATATATTTAGAACGATGAAAAACTTTCATTATCATTGTTTCAAAGCTATTATAATCTAAAATTTAAAAATAAAAGTGTATGAAAATATGAAATTAAATTATATTAAAAAAATTTAAATAAGCCCTGTGTGTGTGTGTGTGTGTGTGTGTGTGTGTGTGTGTCTATATATATATATATATATATATATATATATATATATATATATATATATATATATATATATATATATATATATATATATATATATATATATATATATATATATATATATATATATATATATAAAAAGGAAAATTTACAGTTAACCAAAAACAATTAATAATTATATCAAAAATATAAATATTTAATTTATTTAATAGAATTTAATCGTATCCACATGTTATTTGCGATAACAGGTGGATACGATTTCTTTTGTCTTCACGAATTTATTTAATTCTTAAAAGAAACACTACATAAAGTCAAAATGATACAAAAAGAAATCTGGATTAGATCATTGTTAACAACAAACTCTTGTCGCCATTATGAATTAAGTTTGATGTTTCATTAATTAATTGATTTCAAACAGAATCCTAAATAACAACTTCGAATAAAAAGAATATTGTAAAGTAAATATGTAATAATACAAAAAAACATAATACAATTTCAAACTTTAAAAAATAGAAATAAAACCTAATCATGTTCATAATTATTTTTAACAACAACACCATAAAAAAATTTCTTTGTTTTTTTTTACAAGAGCATAGTGAGTAAAATTGAATAAAACAGCTAATCCACACTTTTTCAACAACAAATAAGGAGATATTTTTAACAAAATATGCCTGATTTTGATAGGAATATTAAAAGAATCCATTGACGATGAAACTTACTTACATTTTTATACAATCGACATATACACAAAAATTTTTTTTGATTATGTGCAATGAACAAAATTTTCACAATCACATTAAATTCTATTAATAAATATGCATAATATGAAGCGAATTTTAGTTTTTTACCATAATGATAAGCACTATCAGCAACTCTAAAACGGTTATAAAACTGATAAAGATTTAGGTCAACATTTAAATCATTCAAATCCATATTCCGCAATTTTTCTGATATATTTTGTGCTGCACCTAACACAAAAGGATTCAAATAAATAGTATTTAAGTGGTCTTCCGCCTGAAATCTAATAAATTTTTCAGCCATTTGTCTTCCATGGCCTTTAGTTCCTGTAACAGACCTCTTTAGTTGATGATTTACATTTTCAAACATCATAGCTGACATTGCTGTAAGAGGTCCAAATTTTTTTACCTGTTTAGAGAGATGTGCTAATGCATGGAAAGTGAATGTGCGAATACCTTTACCAAATTAAGAGCATAATGCCTTTTGAAATAAATATACTAGTTGCTGACAAGCATCAATATCATTTGATGAAATAATTTCATTGGATAATGTATAAATAGATGTTGAAAGCATTAAATAAAGAGAACAACTTTCAGCATTACCAAATTTGTAAAACACAAATGGCCCATAATACAATAGAAAATACTTGTGCACTTGAGCTTGATTTTATGGAGTCTATTATTATATCATATAGTAATAATTTTAAAAAAAATTAATAATGGGCTCCATAAAATTGCCATATTATGGCAATTTTATGGAGTCTATTACAAATTTTTTAAAAATTAGCACCTATAAACCCTTTGCGCCAGAGTGAAAGTCACCCATTATACTCTCCTAGCCCAAACCCTGATACACTACTTAGCAGCAACAATTATAGTTTAAAAAATTAAAATATGTTGTTAGATAAAATTATAAAATATAAAACTTGAACAATCAAATAAAAATCTAAACCTAATGAAAATTTAATAAAAATCATGGTTAAAAATCATTTAAAAAAAAAAGTTTAATAATAACAATTACAAATTTTTCAAATCTTCGCAAACGAGAGCGTGTAAAGTTAAAACATAAAATTATTTTAAGCCGCTTAACTGCAGATTTACCTATATATATATATATATATATATATATATATATATATATATATATATATATATATATATATATATATATATATATATATATATATATATATATATATATATATATATATATATATATATATATATATATATATATATATATATATATATATATATATATATATATATATATATATACAAACACACTCTTAAACATTACAAGTTCTTCATTTAAATTCAACATGAATAATGAATAATTTTGCATAATCACATTATATAAAAAGAAACAGAAAATTAAATAGTTACCTGAAGCTGATTGATTGTACATGGTTTGAGATTGAACTAAAGATATTGTGTGTTTATATATATTGTGTGTTTATGGAAATTTTAAATTAATATATATTATGGCATTTATAACAAAAATCTTAATGTAAAGTAAATAAAAATTATAACATAAATTATAACAACATTCAATAATTTTATAGTTTGTTTAACATGTTAAAAAGAAATGTTAAATCTTGTTAACAAGAGATAACAATAAAAATAAAAATATATTTACCAGTAAAAAATGTTTATATATATTTTATAAAAGAGTGATTTCAAGATTGACCAATTTTTAATATCAAATGGTTTACTCCCATTTAGTCTAAGTAAAATTTTTAGTCTGACTAAAACTTTTAGTCAGGCTGCAAACCACGCAATCATCCCCAGATGTTCTTGAGCTTTTTTCCTATAGAATTACAAATATTATTTAGTAAAACTATTAAATCTAAAAAAGCTGTTTAAGGGCTGACTTGTCTTCCGTGTGAATAAATAAAAGATGGCGTATAACAAAGACGATTGTTTATACTTGTTTTATTTTTGAAAACTTACTAGGAACTTACTAAATAATTCGTTTAATCCTGATAAGTACTTAGTAGAAACTTACTAGGATTAGCAGGAAAATCATAAACGTCATTTGACTAATGGGAAACTTAATAAGTTTAGCCGTATTAAGCGAAAACTTACCAGGATTAGCGGTATTAGCAGAAACCTAAAGGATTAGCAGGAAGTTAAACAGATTCCTTGTAGTATTAGCCGGGTTTTTTTTCTCGGGTAGTTCAGTAGTTTTATTACGATCAACCGAGGTTTACTTTGTTCAGTTTTTCCGGTCATATGTGCCCTTTTAATAACTACGTCACTTACATTTTCAATAACTACGTCACTTACGTTTTCAATTACTACTTCACTTAATTTTTGTTTGTTTTCAAAAATACTTAGAACTTTTTCTTTACTTAATTCTCGGATTTGTGGCTGCTCATCTGATATTATTGCCAAAAAAATATTTTCTTGGTGACCAAAGAATTCATTTGTTTGAATAACTTTGTCTACTGCCTTAGGTAATGCATCTAGCAGATACCGTGGTTTTACCATTGTGCTGCATAGATGCCTGCTGTCATGAAAACTAGAAGACTCCTTTCTGATGATAAACCACATAAGGGCATAAACGCGCATAATGTATGTTGCTATAGTTACTAAATTTAATAAAGGACTGGTGGTAGAAATATATAATCGAAGAATCCTGTTGGTTGTGGTAAGCTATCTAGAATGAGCCAGTTTTCCAGTGCTGCTCTATTCCATATTGACATGTGCTACTTAGCACAGCTGGCAGATATCAAAAAGGTAAAGCTGATCTTTACTGAGCACATTTCTACCCACTTCTGGCATTTCTACATTATGGTTTATAGGTTGGTTATCAAAAACCTTTAAGAAGTTTTATGGGACTTTCCAATAGAATCTGAATAGTATCTAGAACCAGATGTTGGTCCATCCAATTCTGAAAATAAATGACGTAGTAGAAGGTCATTTGTATGTAACAAACAAATTACCCATTGTAGAGGATCTGTTCTTTTTGCTGTCAAAATACAACGTCTTTACTTTAACTTCACTAACTTTCAAGTTATCCTGAGCTTTCATGCGCTCACGCCTTATCTTGTTCCGGTCAATAACATATTTTTTGTCATCATTTGAAATAATTCCAATATATTTAAGTACAGCAGATGCCAAAGCTGCAGCAGATCTGTCTGAGAGTCAATGGCAGTCGCAGACTAATGAAAGAAAAGGGAGAAACAATCGCATTTGTTTGAAGATGATAATGATGTTGATGGAGTGTTTTCATCTATAGCAGGCCGTTTTAAAGTACTAAGTGTGGCAGAAACAATAGAATCTAGTTGCAATGCATCATTAAGGTTTGAGCTCTGTTTGTTTTGGGTAAACTGGAGTTTTGCAGTAATTTTTTGTCAATTGATCCAATACCCATTTTACGTTCAATCCTTCGATCTTCCAGAAAAGTGTGCTTCATAGCTGATACCATATTAACTTTGGCGCAGCAGCATTTTTTTAGATCTTTGCATTGGCAAGCAGATATATCAAAAGTTTTAAAAGTTTTTCACAAATTAATTTACAAATTATTCGAATTCTTTTATTTAAAATGAACATGAAGCGCTTTGTATCCAAACAAAAGCTTTTGATCCTATAATTTTTTTTAGGCTTTTTTAATATTTAAAGAAACTTTTCTTTTTTATATATAATTTTCAAAAGCCTTCTACTGCCCCTAAGAGTGAATCTAAAGAACGCCATTTTAAAGTCTTTAGATCTAACCACTCCATAGATTACCTAAGGAATAAGAAAATCGTCAAAACATAAAAACAAAATCTTTACATAAAGTATCAAAAAATAGAAACGTTATTAATTTGTCTAAGTATAAACAATATAAAAATCTATTTGAAAAAATAAAAATAAAATCCAAAAAACTATATTTTTCAAAACAAATACAAAAATTTAAAGGAGATAATAAAAAAATCTGGGATGTTATAAAAGAAATAATTGGTAAAAAAAAAATAAATTCGAATCAACTATCTTTAAAAGTTCTCATAAGTGAAAAAGAGTTTAATAATAAAAAAATTATCTCCGAAAAATTTAACAATTACTTTGCAAGTATAGGTTCCAAACTCGGCTCTAAAATTCAACCTACAAACAATTCATTTGAGAATTACATCGAGGACTCTCATTGCTTCCTAGTTTTTAAAGAACTAGAA